CCTCATATTCCTCAGCTGCAAACCTAACATGTTCAGTAACAGTTCTAAAATAACTCGCCTGTTGACAACTACAATTTTCCTTATTGTTAAAAGGAGAATACATCCTCAAATCAGCAGTTCCGAAATGTGGACCATAGGAAGTATGCCCATACATCGAAGTTGCCGAATCACGAACTCTACTCAATTTAACTTCCTGTAAATTCTTTCCATCTCCAAGTGAAAATATAAAACTCTTATCTGATTGAATGTAAACAGCGCCAGTTCTCCAATAAGCAGCATTGTATCCCCCAAGTATTTCATCTGCACCTTCCAATTTCAACACAACTACTGTTGGCCCTTTACGATCGCATCTTGAATGAAAAGTTGTTGCATCAAATCCGTCAAGTGTCCCACGAACGAGTAATTTGAAATCATATGCGGCTTTCACATATGTAGGTCCAAGTATATTTTTTCCATCTATCCATCCACAAATAAGTCTTGCATGAATAGGTTTGATAATTAATGAATCTAAATTCATTCCTTGATCTCTTGGTGGAAGCACTATAGATCGAGGAATACTACCAGGCTTTAAATGATATTTTAAAATATCTTCGTTTAAATCTACAGGAAGAATTTTGTCATATGGTCTAACATAATCATAATAATCAGCTGATGAAATATCAAAAAATCTAATTAACGGAATACATTGATGTAATGTAGCACTTAAAGCTTCGAAGTCTTCATTTGTCCAACGAGTAATGTCTGTTTCAGAAAGGTTAGGAGTATTAGCAATTCCCCATTTAACTACATAATTCCAAATCTCTACTTCATTCATCTCTAAATCATCACGTTTCAAAAGTGAAAGTAATAAATCTTTATCAGAAGATGGAAACCCTTCTGATCTAAAGATTGATGCAGGTTTTTCGGCAATTAATTCTAAACAATATTCTCTGAGAGCTGTACAACTACTACAACTTCCTGTAATACGTAATACTTCGACAAGATTATCTTCAAGCCATTCAAATTTTTGATGAATTAAAAAATTCTGAATGTAATTGCAAAATTCATCCAGCATTAGTTCATCACCAGCTGTTAAAAGATTGAGAAGATTTTGCCCGTCTTGTCCTCCAAGTTCAATTTTACCTCTATATATGTATCTTTAAAAATTATGAAGAAAAAAATAAAAAATAAAAAAATAAGATTATCAAAAAAATTTTTTTATATAATTATACTCCATTACAATATTTTCTGTGTGAAATACAAGCTTACTTTAATATCTCTTCAAATACTTCAGGGTAAATATTTGGTTTTTGGAATATAGTTAAGCCATCTTCTTCTTTTGCCCATTGTTTGGCTAAAGCTCTTTTAAAATAATTTGATCTTGACCTTAAAATAGCAATATGAGCATGAAATTTTCGAACATTGGGCTCTTGGCCAACGTGTAATACGACATCGCAGTTTTCAGCATTTTCAAGTAGCCAGGATAGATCGTTCGAAAGCGTTGTCAAGAATTCTTCTGAAGAAGTTTCTGTAGTTTCTATTCTATTTTCCATAATTTACTAGTATGGAATAGAAAAATAAATACTAGCGTTTTAAGAGAAAAACAATTTATGTTTTTCCACATAGCCGTTGAAGTAAGAAGCGCCTGAAATAGTTTTGTGTTACGTATTAAAATCGATTGTTTATCACGTGTTTATTGACCAATCAAATGAATTAATATGATGAT